TCAATTTGTCTCAGGGTTGATTGTGCGATGTTCGTCCGAGCCATCCACCTGTCAGAATGAGTCATTCACTTCAATTAAGATTACTTGGCAAATTCGGTGGAGTTACTGATGTATGTTGACATATTGTCAAGGGCGCTTTCCCACTGTAACAGTTCCACCTGGTTTCGGAGAACTATTCCACCGGCTGACCTCATGAGTCACCATAACCTTCCTTATGTGCAGTTTTAGTTTCGCGAAGTTTATGGAACTTGATGACGATCAAATCGTACTCAGCGTCTAGGGCTGTAGCAAAAATCCAAATTTCATATCGTGTGCCACAAATCAGCAGAAATCGGGTGTTTTCACATAAATCAACAAAAACATACAAACATTGATGAAAGGAATAAAATAATTCCAAACTTTTGACCGCTACTATATGTATATACATGCGGTTACAAGTGCAAAAATACTCCGCAAATGCGACATACGTGAAGGATTACCTGATCTGGATCTTCATATGAAAGAAACGTCTCCCATCCACCATTTGCGACGTAATCCCTTCGGATTAACTCCACATCGTACGGTCGAATTTTGTTGTGAATTTCCTGAGAAAAAAAGTAAAGGATTCCGATTGCTACAGCCTCTACCGTTTTCCCAGTCTACGGACCCTTTCTGAACAGAATTATTAGTATCGAGGGAAGTTCCGTCCAGTGCAAGCCATATCCACTTCCTTCTCGATGCGCTTTAATGCTTTTTACCCCCATCACCGCGTATTTCGATTCTACTTATACGTTTTCATGGCAATGTCCATCAGCCTGCGCACGCGCTCCTCTCACCAGTAGCATTTGATTTTCACTCCTCAATCAGCTAATCCGCTACCTTCACGGGCTCTGGTCCTTTTCAGAACCGAGCTACAAAGGTAGAAAAAGTCCCGCCCACTAAGAAACGCCGATTGTGGGCAGAACTCCGCTCAGATCAAGATATTTTGTCATCTAGGGCATCGCCTATATCCAGCAATTTTTCTCCGCTGATGGCTTATAATCGAGTGAAGAATTTTTCAGTAAGACCACCCACTTAAGCGCCCGAGACATCTGCTCCTGTATGTGACCTCGTAACCACGCGCCCTTTAGCCATTTTTTTCAGCCTACACACTGCACTGGAAGAAAAATTAGATATTTCTGCCCAGGATTTGCTCATTTTTACGCAAGCCCAACCCGTCGTGGGTGGTGCCCGCTTGAGTGATTTGTGTTCAGCACATCTCGATCCATGCCCCACCCCTTCCAAATTTGACCCTATTGCTCCAGGTAGTTTTTCAGGGAATACCATACGCAGACGCATTGGTGACGAGTAGAATGTGCATGCAAAGTAGGAAATAAACTGGATACCAACTTCTCTTGTTCTTACATCACGACACGCTAAACCGAGCTGCTTCATCCGTGCCAAGGCATGCTCACGAAGGTTACCGTGTTCAACACCACTCGAGACCTGAATCGGAATTCTCAAGTATTATTAGTATTAGTCAGGACGCACTTGAAATAACAAAAATTCGTACCAGCGGCATAGGTATGTCGCGTTGTACACGATAAACACGTGTCCACGGTGGTATTAAGGCCAATATGCGTGCTACAAGATCTACCAGCACAGATGGTGGATAGCTCTTAAATGCTATGATATTTTTGAGAAAGGAATCAAAATTAAAAGATGTAAATATGCAACACAAATAAACAACCACACAAATAATACTGCAAGTGTAACATGTGAGTTCGAATTATCAAGTGAAACAGTGGCAGATAAGCTCTGATTTGATAATCTAATGAGTCCAATACACACCTTATACCTGCCTGATCGCCATAACTCGTACAATCCCGTGCCTCTTATAACCAAAGTTGGGTACAATTTCAAACCATCAGGACGGAATTGTGGATTCTAAAGTGTACTTGTCAAGTTCGTTAGAATGATAAGCGGTTAATTTAAAATACGTGTAATCATGATAATGAACATTGGAGGTCTACAAGAATGCTCTTCCCCTCATCAATCTAAAGCTACCAACAAGCAGAAGCGAATCAAAGAGAGGCAAACACTCGAGTAATTCCAAACCTCAAATAGTTCGACAAACTGCTCAATGTCACGCTCCAGCCCAACATTGGGCAGGTCGGGCATCATGTGAATGACGACCTTATATCCAGTATCCTTGGCCATATGGAATGTTTCACAGACCGCTTTAACCTGCATAACTACTTAATTTCAGATCGATAAATGAATGAACATGATCATATTCAAATTAAAATAAATGAACAAATGAAAGGTGGGTATATCACTCTGGGTTATGAGAAGCAAGCAATGAAGAAACCTCCCATTGTAAGTCTCAACGGTTCTTCTGGTTAACATCATTTTTTAACATTTTTTTCTGCCATAAAAGCCTAGCCTGCGTCAATTCGACATGAAGATGAGATCATGCTATTCATATACAAGCATAAACGCTAACCGTGTGCCCTCGATTAGTGTCTCGAGCTACATCCTCGTAAGTAGATTGAACTCCAATTTCAAGGCGAGTACATCCATAAAGAAGCATGTCGTTAAGATGCCGCGGAAGACAGTAGTCGGGTCGAGTTTCAATCGTGATGCCGATGCATTTAATTTTGCTGCGCTCCGAATACGCTACTGCCTTCAATAAAACATCATTATTTTAGATTCAAACTATTCACAGTTCTGGTGCTGAAGAAAATAGGCTCCCTAGACCTCTCGAAAGGCTTAAAATTGATACAAACTGCTCAAAGGTAACATGTACAACTCAAGAGGAATGGTTCTCCCTTCAAAATTGCTCAGTCTAGGAATGCAGACCAAATTTCAGAAAAGGGAGACTTATTGGCACACCCAGAATCATCGTGGCACTGCAAATATGTATAACAACTCGGCAATCTGAAAACGCTGCAATTCAAAACTAAGTAAAAACTTATATTCAAACAAATCAATTCTACTTCCAAAAGTATCTGAAGCTTTTCTACATGGAGCTCTAAACACTACAAGATGAAGTGGCTAACGCAGCGCCAATTCCTATGCAACACCCAGTCAAGACCGAAATCAAATGCGAGAATAGCAGTACCGCTGAATTTAATCATAATATAGAGGATCTGGAAAGATGTGCTCGTCATGGCGACCATAAAATGAAGCGACTAGAGGGCAACTATCGTCACGACATGATGATTTAGACTGAATAATCATTAGAAATTTACTAGCAATCCTTCTATTTATAAAGCGCTAACTTTGTGTGTCGGTTTGTGTATGTCTATGTATGTATGTATGTATGTATGTCTGTGTGTCCGTCCGCAAAATGAAGTGAGTGAGAAGGAAGCTCATGGGATAAACAAACCGCTAACAAATCGGGTAGCTTACAGGATTTGAGATATCAATGTTTTGTAGCAGGATAAATTGTGATAACACCCCTACGGCTATATAAACACCTATATTGAAAAGTTTCCAAACTTTTGTCGCGCCGTTTATTACAGAAAAAAAGATTTTTCAATTGTGATTTCCAATT